AGTGTTGTCCGATAGCAGCTTTCACACGGAGCCCATCCCAGCAGACTGGCCGCTCCGACAGCCAACACCACAAAATGCAGCCGGCATGGTAGTGGATAAATCTGATAAAGGGTTGTGATCCGTCGGTAGCTTTAAGGAACACTTATTTGCTAAGTCTAGACATGTCAGCACCGGAGATTTTGGCGCCAGTGTTCCAAGATATTCTTATATTTATTTGTCATTCTGCGCGTTATTATTATATATTTTGGGCTGGTCACTTAACCCGCATTCCAGAATACCGGCTTCTCAAAGAGAGTATTTTATGGCAAGCTCCAGCAAGGGAAGAGGTCCCAGGAAGGACAGTAAAAGCGCTATAAGGACACACTCAAGACTGCTCTCAATTCTTTTGTCATCAACACAGCCACGTGGGAGGCTGCTGCCCAAGACCGTTCTAGAGGGCGTACGTCCCTCAGGCTGGTGCATCAGCCTGCCAGGCAGCAAAGATTGCACAGGCAGGAAAACGTAGGCAAACTAGAAAAAATCTTACTGCTAATCCTACACTTACTGCGGCTTGCATCTGTTGTCCGCTCTGCTCAAGAACTTTCCAGACTCATAATGGACTAATCAGTCACCTTCATTGATCTTTACTACTTTAGATAGACGAACAACATTATTTTATTATTGTTATTATAATATTATTCTTGGTGGCAAAAAATATACTGCTATATTTCAAATACTGTTGTTGTTCGTCCGGCACGAGTGATGAAGACCGGTTTTCATAATAGTAATAATCAATGATTATGAATATGAAGGTGCCTGACTTCAAATAACATGAAATTTATAAATAACATTAAAGAGAATGTCTATCAATGGTTAAAGGGGGCCCTATAAGTACCTTACAAAATTATCAGGAAGGAAAGGGGAGTGGGTGTGCTCAAAGGACCAGAGTTCCCAAGTTTCTCTCAGATACCAAAGTCCGAGAAGGTCTAGTTTGTCGGGTGCAGCATACGCCTTTCTACACCGTTAACATTCTAAACGGCACCGATAAAATGCCGTGAAAAGCGCCAACAGCTTCTGTTTTTACCGGTGTGTGGGGAAAACAACGACTGAATGGCACCGGAACCGTCTCCGGCATCGGCACCGTCTCCGGCAGCGGCACCGTCAATGGCACCGGCAGCCGTTAAGCCAGTGCGCGTGAAAACAGAGTGTCAGAATGATGGAACCGACTTGCAGACAGATGCACAGACACATTGTAGAGTTGTCGACGCAAAGAAAACCGTAAAAGGGGAAGAGTTCTGTCAGTCCACTGACAATTTTTCGGGGTATGGGGAGGGCTGAAGGGTATAAGCCTGGTTCAAGTGCGAAGTAAAGAACTTTTGTAGGCGGTAAGGGAAACGCTTAGTCTCTTAAAACATTCAAAGGGAAGGGGCGATCTACACTTTCCTTTAAAGATGTTTGTTCTCTACTAGTGGTTCTGCAGTCTTTTTTTCCCACGTCGTCCCCCTCCACCTCCTTGACTGTATGGCAAGAAACCCCCCCCCCCCACTCCCCCTCTCCTTTGAGCATTTGGCAAGACCGCTACGCCCTCTTCAGTATATTGTAATACCCCCTCCCCCCACCCCGCCCTCATCCCGGTCCTCCCTTGAGTAAATGGCAGGACACTCCATGCCACGCACATAGTCCCACCAACCCTCCGCCCCCTCTTTTCCCAGAGTGACTAAAAAAGAGGAAAGTAGATTCTACAAGGGAAACAGAAAGGATGCAGCTACGTTTTGGTCAGAATGTGTTCTTAATCTATAAATGCCTGCGTTAAAATATTAAATATATTTTTTACTCCAAAAATAACAAACTGTTTATGACAAAATTTTCCCTGGCTTTTCGTTTTATCAATAGCTTTTACAAGAATTTCATTATTTTATTAATAAATAAACTGAACAAATAATATAGCGGATTATTACAAATACAACTGCACTCAGTTTTAAAATTGTTGACGCCCCCCCCCCCCCCCTCACCCCCAGGTTGGAACCATTGTTTAATACATTACATAGTGGCGTCGATAGATAATTAATTATTGTTATTTCATTAGTATGGCTAATAGGCCTGTATATTCTGATGTTCTTAAAATGTGTTGGTTCCCTAACAATTAATAATAATAACACAAATATTAAGTTTAAAAATAAAGGACCCTTTTCCACTACTTCAAGCGTTTTAGGCATATAAGGCTAGACCTGTATTAGGTGAGGTAGGTAAGTTGTACCCCACCAGGATTTCACACAAGCGACAAACACCCGGTGACACAAAGTGCCAACATGCGGATGAGGATCACCCGTGGAGAGGTCCCAGAAACCCCGTTCAGCCGTTCCATATTTAAGGCCCGTCTATATTTAGGGCTCCCGAAAAAGGTCAGGGTGGGGCTTCTAAATAACTAAATATTGCATCCCACATAGGGACGATAAGATTATAATAGGACCTGTATCTTATAGACAAATCGCTACTTGGTCGGTGATGTCAGTATCACCCCCCCCCCCCCAAATCTAGAAGAAAATGAGAATATGGGGGAGGGGGGGATTGGGAAGTAGTTAGACTGACTAGCTTAGTAGGTCCTGTTTTCAACTCAAAATAATAGTGGTATGTCCCGTTTTCAGCTCAAGATATTAGTGTTATGTCCCGTTTTCAGCTCAAAATATTAGTGTTATATCCCCTTTTTCAGCTCAGAATATTAGTGTTATGTCCCGTTTCCGCTTAAAATATTAGTGTTATGTCCCGTTTTTTGCTCAAAATATTAGTGTTATGTCCCGTTTTCGGCTGAAGATACTATGGTCCCATGGCTCCCTATTGCGTGCTCTGTAGACTCTGCCCTGAAGGCCAGGTTTCTCTTCGTAGGTGACAGTAGAGTGGGCAGGCCAGCAGGATGTCCTCAAATTTTGTAGTCCCATCTGGCCTGCATACTGTGAGGTCTGTACAGTCTTGATTTTCGGTACTTTATTAATATCGTACCTCAAACATTGTTAATCCACAGCTCACGGGACAGTCTAATATTTCATGGGGTGGTAGATAAGCTGCCTGCAGTCGTAGGACCTAGGCTGCATCATTTGGCGTAGGATATTAATAAAGCACCTTATTTTCTACTTGCGTTAGCGGAGCCTACAGTGTCCTGTTCTTAGACATAAAATGTGTGTATGTTGCTTTATTTTGTGTTTGTTAATAGGATGTTATGGATGTTTGCTGCCGGTTTGTTTTCACTACAATTTCCTGTATTTCCTCTTGATTTGTGCTTTCATTTCTGATAATGGCAATGAATTTGTTTGTTGTTCATCCTGTGTTCCATTCTTTAGAAGTCAGTCCACCAATTTATATATAAAATTTTCTTTCTCGTTCCCAGTGTCAGCTAGACATCTATGCAGGAGACATGGCTGTATCTGCTTCTCGTATGCTGGAGGAGACTTACTGGCACCCTCAGTGTTTCTCATGCTTTACTTGTGGGGACTTGTTGGTCGACCTTATCTACTTCTACCACAACCATCAGCTGTACTGCGGCCGGCACCACGCAGAACTGTTCAAACCCAGGTGTGCTGCCTGTGATGAGGTAAGATGATATGTTCTACACGCACCAACTCACTATAAGTTCGGTCCGGTCAAAACGAATGCAAGGAACGTTCTCTGTTTTTATTTGTGACAAATTTTTAGCCTCGGACAGACGGTGGCCGTTGCATTTTCTGGTGGACATGCTGCAGTCTATGTTAGTTTTTCCACAAGGGACAGTCACTGACATTCTGTGTGTGTGTTTTTCGTTTGCCCAGGAGCGAAGCAACTATGGGGGGGGGGGGCGTTTACTACGTAGCTGAAATTATGATTACAGGATTAGGTGCTTTAATAATATCCTAACTCAAACAGGGGAAATCCACAGGTCACGGGACAGTCTAATATTTCAGGGGGTGGTAGATAGGCTGTATGCACTGGTGGGACCTAGGCTGTATGCACTCGTGGGACCTAGGCTGCACTCTCTCGTGGGACGTAGGTGTTTTGAGGTTAGGGCCAGTTCTAGCTTTCTTTGGGTCTTTAAAAGCATCAGAAAGCCGGGAAACACAGTCTTACCACCCTCTAAAATGTTGGACTGTCCTGTGACGTCATCTGGGGGTATGATATTAACAAAGCACCGAAGATTACGTTTGTTGGATGCTCTGAAATTACAGAACTTAATATGTCTGTCCCATGTTAAGGTGAAGTGAACAAGAAAAAAATTAGGCAATACTAAAGTAAAGGATTCTTTGTTACGTCAGTCTAGCTTCAGATATATGATGCTAGACATATTTCTATAGACTTGTCAGCGCTTGTTAGATGATGCTATCGACATCAAACCTGTCACCTTTGCTTCCCAGCCTGATACCCATTCAAACTTGGTCAACGTCAGGGCTAAGGTCACTTTTTAATTTTTTTTTAAATGTGCCTCTGGGCGAATTCTAACTACTACCACCACCACCACCACTACTACTGCTGCTGCTGCTACTAGTACATCCCCAGAACCCACAAGGGCAGAAACACAATGGGATTTTGTAGATGGAAATGGGAAAAGCCTGGGTGGAAAAACACATGAAGCAGGAATTTTAACATGGGAGCCAAGGTCATTTTTGAAAAAAGTCAGGCAGCGAACCCACGACCTTCCGATCCGCGGCAAGAGTCTGGTCGCTCTGCCACGCCAACTCCCTTTGTGTAGTTAAGTGCTCAAACCATTTCATTTGTCATAACCATCTTTTATTGAATTTTAACAGATTATTTTCGCTGATGAGTGCACGGAAGCCGAGGCCAGGAGCTGGCACATGAAGCACTTTTGCTGCCTAGAGTGTGACCGACAACTGGGAGGTCAACGGTACATCATGCGAGACGGGCGTCCCTATTGCTGCTCGTGCTTCGAGAACCTGTTTGCCGAATACTGCGACACCTGCGGGGAACACATCGGGGTTGACCACGGGCAAATGTCTTACGGCGGGCAGCACTGGCATGCCTCCGAGTTGTGCTTTCGTTGTCACACCTGCCAGACTAGTCTGCTAGGTCAGCCTTTTCTGCCGAGGCACGGGGTGATATACTGTTCTGCCGCGTGTAGCAGAGCGGGTTCCAGAACCACGCAGACCCCAAGGAGGCCTGAAGATTACCTGGTAAACATGCAGGAAGCTAGAGTTTGCTCCCCGGTTAGTCATGTGATGTTGGAAGGGCGGGCTGGGATACACGAGGTTCTAAGACAACAGTACACGCTGCCTGGAAGTCTGCCGTCTTCAGATAGAGATCAGGGGTATGCAACAAGTAACAACAGTGAAAATTACGCTCCGGGTTTGTTTCAGACACGCGATAACGAGATTGTTGACCAGGAAGATGAATCAGCGTACACGATTAACTTTGACAGTCTCATCGATGCGCTTCCATTGCAGGAAGCAAAGTGCAGGAATCGCTTATCCCAGTTCTCAATGCCTGATCTTAGTCAAGAGGGACAACTACCAGCATCAGAAGGGACTGCTGAAGACAAGAGTAACTTCCCATCTCTGGCAAGGGACAACACCAATAAACAAAATTCAAGAAGAAACATCAGTGTCCACTACGCTTCCACTAGTATACCCCATCACATTTCATCTGACAATCCCGGTGCCGTGATGTCCTCTTCTGGCATGATGATCAACCCGAATAATAACCCTGAATGGGATCATCACCTTAACTATAATCAAATGGGTAACCCTCTTTGCAATTGGCACCCATTACAAAATGGTAACCCTGTTAGGCAAAGTCCCTGTGTCAACAAACAAAAGAAAACTTCATTGACTCAGCATGTATATTCGGAAATTGCTCAGAGTTCAAACTCAGAAACAGCTAAATCCCACAAACCTCCAGCCTATCCCAGAAATGTGTCTAGCCCAGCCAAGGCAGATCTCGGCAAGATAACCAACACAGCTCCCCCAGTCTGCAGCCAAACGTACTCGCCATGTAACCAAACCCACACCCGCTGCTCCATAAGTATCTCCCGGAGCCAAAGTTTTGATGGCGGGCCGGGCAGTTTGATGTTGCAGAATCAGAACGTATCAAATTCTAAAGAAAGTTCTTTCTCACCTAGGAACTGTCATCTCAAGCAGCAAACATCATTAGCGCATCACGCATCAGCTGTGGTACATCAGACACCATCTGGGGCACATCACACTTCTATACACCTCCCTTCTTCAGACATCGTCCCGGCAGATAAGTACGTCTATGCAAACTCCCAAGACGACAGGTGCAGCACTTGCTCCAGCTCGAGCAGCTCTGAAGATTTCGACTATTACTTCTCCTCTAAAAACACGAACAAAATATCCTACGTGGATGACATGGGTATTGGAGGCACTATCAGAAGTTCTTCAATAAGAAAGAAGGGACATCGACACCGACAAAAGAATAAACACTGCGTTTTACAATAAGATTAGTAGAATAGTTGTCGCTTGTAGACTGTCTATAACATTGCTCACAAACCCAATGGTCTCCGAATAGGGTCAATGTAAATAAGTAAAGGACTGTTCTGACGCCATTAGCGCGAGTGTACAGTACTAGGCTCAATGTTTTTTTTTTTTTATATAGACCAATCGGTATTTATCAAACGGTGTGGTTTACGTTAAATTTACCGCTTTTATTTCACTGAATATTTCCTGGCTATGTCAGGCTCGGAGACAAGGTCATTTTATACACACATGCAAACACAAAATTATCCCTGTTGCAGATCCTAACGCTAGACTTTTGAACTGGTAGGAATACACATAGCTACTGTGCTACCCGCAGCTCTAAAAACATCTGTGATGGAGATTAAATATAGTTTTGGACACTTCCTGCAAGAGAAGTAACTCTAGTTGCTATTGTTCTTTGCAATTGAGAGCTGTCAAACATTTTAATTGACACGCCTGCAGTTGTGTTCCTCATTTTGTCAATATTCTCCTTCGTTGTCCAACATCTCCTTCTGTCCTTAGCTTCTGTCTCTTTATTTGTCCTCTTCCTGTCCTTCTCTCTTTCTTTTAATATGTTTGTAAATTTTAGCTGTAGAGTCAACACCACAAGATAGTCAGTCAAGGTAGACGTTATAGAGCTCCTCAACTACTTGTGTATTAAGGAAATAACAACCTCCGTTCCCATGCCTGACGCAATTTTCTTTATTTTGAAGCCCTATTTTCAAGATGCCTGCAGACCCTGGTTTCGGCCCCAATCTTCCTCAATTACAAGCAAGAAGTTATTATAAACAGGTTAATTGAATGCTTACACAAGACCGTCTCCGTCTGACGGGTCATGCTGCTTAAGTCACCAAACCGGGCTAACGATTCGTTGTTTTCACTTCTGAATGGCAGGTTTTTGAACGTAAACTTTCCGAATAAAATCAAAAACAAAGCAACAACAACAAACAAACAGAAAAGATGGGTTGGTTCTGCACCGTCCTGAAAAGAATACGCAGTTAAGTGTTAACTTCCTTTAGACTCGCAATCCAACCAGCTACCAAACCATTTATACTGTGTCCACTTTATTGGGGTAAAATGACACTACTGGGGTTCACCTCCGAGACTTGAGTTTTTAGTAACCGTAGACAGATGGCTTATACATATCATCAAGTGCCTTGACAACGGGTGCGAACGGTCGTGCCTCTCTGCATTTCTCTGTTTAAAAATCAAGGTGTCAGCTCATAAATTGATCTGTTTTCTGTTATTCTGGCATAAAAACAAAAAGCAAAATTACAGTCATGTTTCAGCTAGTCATTTTAGCAGCGCCCTGTTTGTATTTTTAATTTGTTACCAACAAGTAGGAAAAAAATAGATGATTTAAATAAATACGGTAAACGATGTGTGATTTGAAAGGCAGATTACATCCATTCGAAAACGAAAGCATGAGAAAATGAAGGAACATTATTGGAATGGATTCACGAAAGTTGAAGAAATCATAGAGATGTCTAGACTAGCGGTTCTCGCCTGTGGCTCGCGACCCTTACACATGGGTCGCCAAAGACCATCGCAAAACAAATATTCATTGAAGTTATGAAGTAGCGACGAAAATAATTGTACGGTTGGAGTTAGTCATAACATGGGGAACTGTATTGAAGGGTTGCCACAACATCAGGAACTGTATTAAAGGGATGCCACAACATCAGGAACTGTATTAAAGGGATGCCACAACATCAGGAACTGTATTAAAGGGATGCCACAACATGAGCAACTTTATTAAAGGGATGCCACAACATGAGCAACTTTATTAAAGGGATGCCACAACATGAGCAACTGTATTGAAGGGTCGCGGCTATAGGAAGGTTGAGAACCATTTGTCTGGACAAACGCTTGTAGTAACAGTTTTAAGACTAAGAATGATATATTAGGGATATCCTGAGGGGACAGGAACTGTGAAACACCTGGCGATACTCAAATGTGTCACAAATGTAAAAGGACAAGGGGCTCCTGAATTCCTAAGCCTAACAATGTATAAACTGTTTATGTTTAAGTATTTGTGTAAACATTTTATATTATTTCACATATATTATTATATTCATATGAGATCATCAAATGAGTATTATTACGCACTTAAATAGGGCGAATGCCCACTGAGCCGACCCTCCAGCCAGATAATGTGTAAGAGAGCTGATCTCCCCAAGAGTTTCCCTTGGCGTCTCTGCGGAGGAAATGAGGATGTCAAGAGCAACCGAAAGACGAAGTTGGTGCCAGAAGGCCAAGGTGGCGGACGAGATTCCGCTTATGATATAATGAAGTCGATAAGTGATCCGAGAGCCTTATGTGACGTCACTCACCGAGTGCCGACTAGTCTACAAAATATAGATCTAGCCCCATATACCCAACTCGTATTTATTAACACTTTGTTACTTTATTTGGGACAGCCGCCGTTGTGTAGAGGCTAGACAATCGCCTGCGGATAGGAAGGTGGTGGGTTCGGGTCCTAACGGGGCCATACTTTCTTTAAAAAATTGACTTTGGCTCGTTCACACAATCTTACACATGTTATTTCATCGAATCTCATGTCATCTGTCAACATTCGTTCATGTATGGTCTTCGGAACATCTTCCTTGTCTAGTCCAAGTGTTCCCGTAGCTATCGCTTTTGTAGTAAAAAAAATTCGCTCTTTCATTCCCTTGCACTCCTTCATATCCCGGATATAGGAAATGTAAGACACGGTCAGAAAACCACGACAATGGGCTAACCCAATAACTGTAATGACAAAAGAAGATTGCAACTAAGTGGCCAAAAATAACGTAAACGTGTATAAACTGTGATCGTTTTAGTGGTATTTTTTCATGTGATGAGACCGTGATAAATTATTACTTTACTTTGTTCTCGAAAGGGTTCTGATTGTGATAAATGGGACGTGATTTTTTTTTTTTTTTTTTTAGCTTTGATATTTATTCATTACGCGATAAACCTGCTTTTAAACCAGATTTCACTGTGGATTCTAATGTATATAGCTAATTGTCGCTTATATATCTTAGATAGTAATACAATTAATATATACTAGGGCAAATATATACAGTCCAATTTACTATATGTACAGACTTTAACACGAGTCGCCGTGGCGAAGCGGCTAGACGCTCGCCCGCGGATCGGAAGGTCGTGGGTTCGCTCCCTGGTGGGGCCTGACTTTTTTCAAAAATGACATTGGCTCCCAGGTCGACCCAGTCTTGTGTGGGTACCAAGGGAAGTGAAGGCAGACTGCGCGATGCTGACCACATCACCCGTTTTGTGCCATCTAGCCCTATATACCCAATACGCCAGAAAAGCGTGGAAAAGGGTCCTTTACTTTACTTTTACAGACTTCAACGGATCTCAGATATCAGTAGACTGTTTTCCAACTTAGCTTAAATTATGATAGCATTGTTATGTTATGTTATCACCATCGAGTTATCTTTTCGCACTGGACACTTTCGTGTCTGCTTAGTCCACAGATGCATCGGTCATTTCAAGCAGCGCTGGATTATGGTATAATCTAACTAACATTGACATTTTTTTTAAGTGTAGAATAAAGATTACGTAAACATCTTATGTACTTGTATAGGGTAATGCTGAATGCAGTATCAGGCATATGTTTATATATACACACACAAACAGACAGACAGACAGACAGACAGACAGACAGACAGACAGACAGACAGACAGACAGACAGACAGACAGACAGACAGACAGACAGACAGACAGACAGACAGACAGACAGACAGACAGACAGACAGACAGACAGACAGACAGACAGACAGACAGACAGACAGACAGACAGACAGACAGACAGACAGACATGCATGCATGCATGCATGCATGCATGCATGCATGCATGCATACATACATACATACATACATACATACATACATACATACATACATACATACATACATACATACATACATACATACATACATACATACATACATACATACATACATACATACATACATACATACATACATACATACATACATACATACATACATACATACATACATACATACATACATACATACATACATACATACATACATACATACATACACACACACATACATACATACATACACACACACACACACACACACATACTCTTCTTGTTGCTTTTGACACATAAGGAGTTTATAAGTGATCTCTGTTGCAATCAGTCAATCACGTGCCGTCTCCACAATGAAGGTTGACTGCATTCGATTTCCAGCACGCCCTGTCTCTTGTCCTGGCTGTACATTCGGTCAAACTGTTATTGGTTCATCTACTGATGTTATCCTCCCACTTGTAACAGTGTTTACCTCTTGCCCTCGACCTTTCTCCCCAGTGTGGGTTTTTAAAAGCGTATTGCATCTTTTAATGTGGTCAAAATATTTTGTTTTTCTCTCTCTCTTTTTTTTTTTATTTTTTTTATTTCTCAGAGTAATTTTTTTTTTTCTGTTCGCAGTCTTTTAGGAACCTCTGTATTTGATTGCCTTTGTTCCAATGAAATACGACCTACTCTTCTGTATCTCCATTTTTTTCCAGTGATTTACCTAAATTTTCTAGTTGTCTGTTAATTGTCCAAGTTTCTGCACAATGCAGCAGGGTTATGAATATCCAAGTATAACATTTGACCATTCTAAATTTTGTAATGTGTTGTTTATCTCTCTAGGTGTCAGTATTTTTCGCATCTACTGAAGATAGTTTTGGCTATTCCTAATATCTTTATGATTTCTGTTTTACTTCAGCCATTATCTGTTACTATATGTCCTAGATGGGAGAAACTTCTGCCCTGGATATCCCATAACATTATCTAATTACTTATGTTTTGGAAAGCAAGGCTCATATACCCTCCCCCCCCCCCACACACACACACCTCTGGCGCATGGTTCTCCTCGTTTCCCTGCCTCGTGCTATGTTCGGTTGCTATGACGCAACATTCCTTTTCACAATTGTTGGGGACAGGTCACCCCCCCCCCC